TGGATGAAACTCAGGTTCTGCCCGTGCTGGAAGGTGACCACCGAGGCGCCGTGCAGGGTGAAGTCCACGCCTCCCGGGACCGCGGAGGGGCTGTGAGCCACGAACTCGGCCGTCACGCGGCCGTACGTCCCACGCAGCCTCAGCACCGGGATCGCCACCGTCCCCGCGTCCTCCACTGCGCGGAACCGGCCGGGTGAGCGCGTGCGCGCAGAGCGGCTCCCGGAGAAGGCCGCCAAGTGAAAGAAGGGGGAGCGGCCAGGGCGGCCGCAAGGCGCCGTGGCTCTGTGCTCTGTGGCTCTAAGGCTCCATTTTTCTGCCCTTCTCAGTATAAAATGATCAGTGCGGCTGGGTGGGGTGGGGTGGGGTGGGGTGGGGTGGGCACGACTAGGATCCCAGCACTGGCAGGCCGAGGCTGGGCAGTGGAGGGACTGAGCCAGACCTTGTCCCTAAGGTAGGGAGGGGGTGGGCGGCGGCCGAGGTGGCGCAGTGTGAAGACCTTGGGCCCAATCCCTGGTACAACACCAAAGGGGTTACTAGGGAAAAGGGGATGGCCCTGACTTTTTAAGGAAGCTTACAGTTTGTTCGATGACAAAAGATGGTGATGAGTAAGAGAATTTACACACCTAGTCGTTATTATAGGCATTGTTTTTTCTTTATGTGCCCTGTACAAATAAATAACTTCTACTAGGAAAATGTTAAGATGAACACAAAAATACTGAAAATATGAGAAGGGAAGACATTGTGGATTCTTGTGCACATGTAGTTGAAATATAATACAAATAAATGAACTTAGTGTTATTTATGTCATGAGTATTGTAAAAGTTTACATCTAAAAATTATACTATTTTTAAGTCCAACAAAATCTACTTATGGATATGAAAATGCATACTCACATTTGATTTCAATTTAAAAGTGCTTTTAAAAATACCTTTATTTCTTATTGAGCTGATAAATCTGTACACCAAAATATGATTTTACCAGGGCTTACATATCCAGGGCTAAAGCTTCTACTCAAAATCTCTCCCAACTCTACCGAAAATCAGTGAACAGAAGAGCGAGTCCAAGTTGTATTTCTTAATGCAAAGATGAAACGTGACTTTGCCTACTGGAGAGAAATTCACGAAGTAGTAATGTCTTCTGTGACTGCCCCATAAAGCCATCACAAATTTACTCCTAAAGTGGTTTTTGATGAGCTTTAAAAACGGGTAGATAATAAAGAATTTTAATGGAGGCAATGAAGCCAATAAATAAATTGCATGAACAAGGCAACACGTTTATTTCAGAAGCTATATTCTGCCTTTGAATAAAATAATTTCCTAGAAAGGGAACCATCTGTACGTGGGCAGAACAGAGCCATGAATTTGGGGCACTCTGGCTCCATTAGGCCAGCTCCGACTGCAGCTGCCCAAAGAAAGCAAAATCAGACAGCCACCAGCTGCCTGCCCCTGAGGGCAGGAAAATGCCCCTCTCAAAGGTGATCCTCACCAGAAAGCACAAACTCATCAACTGATGATCCTGTGGGAAATTAAATGTCTCCTTAGATAAGGTTTCAGGAAAGTTACAGCAAGTATTTAAAAAATCCTAAAGTGAAACATAATTTAGATTCAGTCACTCCATTATTATTATTTGCTTTTTCTTTCATAATTTTTAATCATGCATTTGGCTTTACCATATGTAGAAAAATTCAAGGCTACCTAAAGGTTAAATGAAAAAATATATTCAGACACTGTATGAAGGTGTATATGGACACACACAGACACACGTGTACACACACGCCAAACCATGAAAATGTAAGCATAGGAATTCAGGCTGCATGCCACATACAGCTGCTCTGCAGTTCAGCGCATGCTGGCTCAACCTACCTTCGAAGGCCGTATACTTCGGGTCAAATTCAATGATGCCTTCTGCGTTATCATTTTTCATTATTATGATTTGAACAGTGGAGATGTTTCCTATTTCAGGAGGTTGATCTATCTGAAGTCCATTTTCTTGGATGGTAAAATCATACCCTCTTGCAAAATCATAAGAAATAAAAATTTAAAACAAAATAGAATGACATGAAAACATTATTACTTAGCACAAACTAAAAGGTCCTCTTAGCTCCTATCCCTTAGTTCTATTATATAGTGATGCTTTTAAAGATCCTAAATGCTAACATAATCTTTTTTCCCCTGAAATACTTTAAAGATTTTTGTGCTGTTTCCAATTATTGGTGCCTATTCTGAAGTACTAGGTCCCTTACAATGAAAAATAATAAAGCAGCTGCACTTGAGTTTCCAGGGTTAGGACAACAGGGTTTCTTGAAAGATATAAAATGTGTCCTTCCACCCATCAGGTTTCAAGATAAATCACCAAGGTTCAAGGAAGCATTTTAATATAATCAGTGCCTCTATACCATGGAGGACAGTTTGTGTGATGACATTTCAGCAAAAAATATGTTTACATCAGTATCATTTATATCAAGTTTTCATTTCTTAGAGCTGTACATCACTTCAGGTTTCTTTTTATTTTTAATGTATTTGGTACAGGGTCTCACTGCACAGCTTGGACCCAGTGATCCTCCTCCCAGTGCTGGCATTATAGGTGTGTGCCACCATGTCCCATCTCGGTGGCCAGCTCAACTCCCCCAGGGGCGGGGCCAGCACAGCCTGTGGTGCCAGGGATCAAACTTCAGTCCCTACACTCGCTTAAGGAGGCACTTAGTCCGCTGAGCTAGCTCGCTGGCCATATCACTTTAGTTCTTGAATCTAAAAAATTATACTAAAACATTTTAGTCTTTCAGTTCCCAAATTCTGCTGATCTGCTCTTTTGCCCCCCTTTGCACCTATAGGTGGAAAGCTGGTGGGTAAGATTACATAGACACCAACATGAGCACAGTAAAGACTGACAGCGGCTGGGAAGCGGCACAGCCTTGTGGCGGGCGTGCAGTAGGTCAGCTGAGTACTGAAAGTGGGGACCAGTGCAGTAAGGGCTCTCTCAGATCGGCAAAAGAAGAAACACTGAATTATACTTCCTTTTTTTTTTTTTTTTTTTTTTTTAGAGCAAAGAAACTCTAATAACTATCTGGAAAGAAAAACGTGTTGCTCAGAATTAAACTTCACCAGAAACTGCTTTTTTCAAAGTGTAAGCTTGAGGGCTAAAAATTTCCAAGTTAACAATACAAGTACAATTTTCACCCTTAGTGTGCTATAATAATTATATGTATCAAATTAAATACATATAATTTAATTTGGGTCCAGTTTGAATTTTCACTTATTTCATATGCTCAGAAATTCAATTCCACTGCCAGACACAGAAGGGAGTCTGAGGAATCTAAGCTGGTAGGCTCCATACTCTACCTGAGCCACTCGGAAGTCTTCTAATTGTGAAGATGTTTGCAGCATAATAGTCGTATAACAGATATAAAAATGTTCTCAGGCACAGGAAACATTTCTTTCAGGTTTCCACACGAGCAAACACGATTGCTGCAGGAGGCCCCGTGTCCTGAGAGCTACCTGGGCAGAGGGCCTGGCAGTCACCCGCCTGGCACTGTGCTCACGGGTGGACCACGCTTCAGCCCCGTCTACCCCATTAGGGAGGGGATGAAAGTGACTCTGAGGCTCCTGTGGTTAATTTAACAGCCTGCCTGCCTGCCTTCCATTTTTCAGCACTGAGATTGGACCAGGTCCCCATGCATGCCAGGAAAGCACTCTACCACTCCCCATTTTTAAAGCGGTTCTCACTAAATTGCTCAGGCTGGCCTCAAAGGTGACGTCTTTCTGCTGCAGCTGCAGAGTGGCAGTGTGTGCCCCCATGCTCAGTGGCAGTGTGCTTATTTGTGATCCTCCCTGAACACACGCTGTGCGTGAACTGCCAACTGTCTTGGAGTTAGTTTCCTACTGGGAAGCGGCAGCTTGACACACACCTGTGTCATCTGCACAGAGCAGATAGCAGGGCTGGGGACACAGCAGCAAATGAGGCACACTGGGACTGCCGCGGGCCAGAGCTGGGGTGGCACGCTGACCTCCAGGGCGAGCAGCTGGACGCCTCTTCCCCAGGTAATGACACTGGGCTGAGTCGGCCCCGCTGCCCTGCCTGCATTCCACCACCTACTGTCCATTTTGGGAGAGAAGGCGAACTCAGAAAGCCACAAACAGCAACAGCGAGTCTCCATCCTAATTTTCCTCTTGTGCCATTTTAATAACACACAGATGAGACAGAGGGCAAAGGAAGAACTAACTGCCTTACACCAAGGAAGACGTCTCTGTCCACGCTTTTCCTCAGCCCCTCCCCATCCTCCGCTGCCTCTCCCCCACCTCTCCTCCCCTCTCTTCCCTCCCTATGTTGTTCACCTTCTTTACCTTCCCTGGAGCTCCACCTTCATAATTGCTAGAGAAAAGTCCTCGGGGCCTTCCGGGTGGTCATCGTCAAGGACCTCAACCTGCAGCCCTTTAACCAGCTCTCCTGGCTCAAAGAGCAGCTGCCCAGCCACGGGGACAAAGTCCAGGCCTGCGTCTGCGGTGCCACCAGCTGTCTCAAACCACAGCATCACCAGGCCAAGGGAGCCGCCTGCCCGGGCCACCGTGATGTTCACCTGTGTGAAAGGCAGACAGCACTGTCCCCAGTGAGACACCGTACTTACAAAGATTAGGTGCAAGTGAGACCTAAACCACAAATAAATTGTACGTTAAAATAGAGATGTTAGCAAATAAATCTTTATGAAAAATATGTATTTCTAATTTTTTTTTTTTTTTCAGTCCGGGTCTCACTATGTAGCTCTGACTGGCTTTGAACTCACTGTAACAGTGATCTTGCTGCCTCAGCCTCCTGAATGCTAGGGCTCAGGTGTGCCCCACCACACTCTGCAAATGAGAACAGCTGGGAATACGAACCCAGAAATGCCTTTGCATCACTCATAATATCAAAAGCAAGAACAACAGTAAGACTTTGAGTACTTTCTACCTACCTTCTGCACTTCCTCCAACACCTGGAGCTGCTCCTGGGAAAAGGCAAAGTGGCCATAGGGGTCATCGCTGGCCACCATGGTGATGTTGGCTGTGCGGCTGGAGGTGCGCAGCCCCGCACCCTCACTGATGTCTATGAGTTCGAACTCATAGAAACGCTTCTCCTCAGGTATGTCATCATTCAATGCCTACGGAAGGACAGAAGGCCCTCAGCAGTAGGATCCAGAGGATGTAAAGGAAAGCATCTGTCACATGAATGACAGCAACTAAGTCTGTGATGTGAATCTGCCCAGGCCAAAACCACACGCACACGCATGCATGCACACAAGCCAGCAGCACTGCACCTGAATGACCACGGTGGCCGCCGACTGTCCATTCTGCATGGTCAGCTTCCCCACAGTTTCAGCAAACTCCCCCGTGGAAGGAGGGGAGATTCTCCACCACACTGTCACCTCTCCCCAGAGCACAGGGCCACGGACAAGGCTGTAACGACATGCAAGTGGCCATTCAACATAGCTTCTTCTTGGCACTTTACCTATATATTGGCTGTGTCTTTCAAGAATATTATGCTTTAAAATAAGTTCATCAGTCAACTATAAATGAAAATAAAGTCTTAGAATTTTAAGACAGTATCAACTAAAGTAGTGAGGTAGTAATTCTATCATGCCAGGCATGCTGGCAAAGGTGAACACCAAGAACAGGTTTAAAGGAATAAGTAGAAATATTTATACATTTTCACTGATACACAAGAAAAAAAAATATGAGCAACATTACGAAGTTTTTTCTGCTGTTTTTTGGCTGTACTGAGGATTGAACCCAGAACCTCTGTTGCACTGTTTTTCCTTCTGTCCTCCCTCCCTCTCTTCTTTCCTCTCTCCTTCCCTTCATTCATCCCTTCTTTCCTTCAAGGACAGGGTCTCTCTTACGTTACTAAGCTGCCCAAGCTAGGCTCAGACTTGTGACCTCCTGCCTCAGCATTCCTCAGTGCTGGTGTACCAGGTGTAAGCCACAGACCTGGCCTGTACTGACCAAAAAGCAGTAAATATTTCACATATGAGCAAACAATAGAAAGGCTAATCTGTTGCCTTTGGGTAAATAATAAAAAGAAAAAATACCATGGAGGCTTCAACGAAAGCTGCTCCACTTTTCACAAGTGAATTTTGGAGAAAAACTCTCCACAATGGTACTAACTTAGTTCTAGGAAAGGCTGTGATGTGGGAGCCCTTCGGAATCAAACTGCCCTGGACAATTCGCTAAAGAATGCTTCTGTAGCCCAGCGGCACAAGCGTGGAGAGGAGGTCACCGCGATCCGGTGCTCACACAGAACAGAGGGGCTGAAGTCACAGACCTCCCGGCCCCACCTCTACATACTTCTAGGTATGGGTTGGACGAATAACCCAAACCACTTCGTGACCCAGATCACTCCTGTTCAATCTCTGTCTCAGGTTTTGCTCTCTATGTAGTGCTGCCAGCACACAGCGATCACGCACAAATACCAGGATTTACTGCGAACAATACACTAAGCCGGCTCACTGCAACAAAACTTCACAAGCCCTACCAGCACAGGACGGTTCTGAAGCCTGTACCTGATAACAGCCGTGCCATTGTACGTGGCCGAGGGCTCCCCAATGAGGACATGCCTGGACGTCAGAGCGATCCCAACTTCCCCCGACGCTGCCTTCTCACCCCTCAGGATGATGGATGCTCTACCTGCGTGAAGATGACACGATGCTGTTACCAACAACATCTGCAGAAAGACCACACTACTGCGTTTGCAAGACCATCATATAAATGGGGCACCAATGTCCGCATTCCAGCTTGAAAAAATGAGGAAACCTGCCTAAGATTCAAGCTTAATGAAAGGGTAGGAAATGCAGGCAGTGACGCTGGTCTCAACCCAGGCTAAGCTAGTGTTCCTGTGCCATCTATAAAGATTCAGTTCTACAGAAAGCATTTTATATCTCACTGCACCTGGCTATGTACACAACGAGCCCGCTACATGGCAAAAGCCAGAATTCTGGGGCAGTGTTTTAATTTTAATTTTACTACCACTTGGCCAAAAGCATTTCTAAAACTGTGTCAAATATTTATTAAAATAGAAATAAAAACCATATCAAGGAATTTGAGTATCTATATTCTAATATAGCAGTAACTTGAAAGTTTCTCTAGAAGCGTACATGAGGATATCATGAAAAACAGAACTGGGTTATACTCTCATGTTCTCGGGCAGTGGTTAATGAAATCAAGGGTACCGTTGGCCATGTGCAATTATGTCAGGCACAATTATCCTAAGAGTTTTTATTTTGATGCAGATTTTACTTTACTCTCTGATGCATTATTTCTGTGTCAAATTAGCCTACATGACATCAATTATCATTTTAACAGGATGAATGTCTCTAAGTTAACTAACTTGAGAGTGATGGAAGAATACAGCAGAAGGAGGCGCTTCCTGGACAGCTGCTACAGCTAGAGCCCCGCCGTCCCTCAGAGGTCTACCTGCGAGGCTGGTTCCCCCCGCCCCGCCCCACCCCGCCCCGCCCCGCCCATGGTGCTGAAGGAAGGTGGCAGTGGGAGCACCAGGAGGCGAGGCCTGAAGGAAGGAAGCCAGGCACTGGCGTGTGCCGGGCCTTGAGGGAGACACTGGGACCCTGCCCCACTTTCCTCTCTACTTCCCAGCCACCATAATAAGCAGCTGGCTGTGTTCCACACCTCTGCCTTGACAAGCTGCCTTGTCACAGTCCCAGGGCCGTGGCCTGCCTACCAGGGACTGAAACCTCACAAACCATGAGCCAAAACAAGCCTCTTCTTCTTATAAATTGCTTTTCTCGCATACTGTGTCATAGTGACGGAACACTGACTAACACAGCGGGTCTGCCAAGAAGGCTCGAGGTCAACGAGCTGGAAGAAAGCGACCTTCTGTACATACGGGGATACTATACAATTTTGAGTTTTCTTCTTCACAGAATTTAATTTGAATCATAGACCCCTGCACAGGATGGAATTTTGATAACAAAAAGGACATGTAACACTACCAAGCATGTACAAAGTTTCTAGGCCATTTTTTTATTGTTAGTGCTGTTTCTAGCATAATAAAATCATTTGAGAATCATTTATCCTTTTTTCTTGATTCTTTTTATATTTTTATTCATTTTAATAAGAAAAAAAGATAAAATAGCAATGAGACAGTTTCACAACACGTTAGTAGGCCAGTTACAATAATACATTGCATATTGTTGTCTTTGCAGTAGTTATTCAGAGGACAAGACGTAGACATACCTTGTCTAAACACGATTAGTACAAACCTTTCTTCTCATTGAACTAAGAAAAATAAACTATATATCCTAACTACCTTGTATATACAAATATTTTTTTCACTACAAAATGGCCCTTTATTTGTATCCCCTATTTTGTTTTGTCAGAGATGGGTGTTCCATTGCTGTTAGAGAAGCTGTATCTGGAGAAGTCTTTGAAGGACCTTTTCATACTTGATGCCAGTCCAAATATTGTAAGTATTGAATTCAGCAAAATAAATCAATATAGTCCAATAGTCCATAGTAGTAGTGAGTTACCAGCACAACTGGCAGTTGTCCAAAGTTGCTGATTTGAGCCTTTTACAGCTCAGCATATTAATATAGCTTTACTTTTTATACCTCGTGGTTACACTTTTCTGCTGGATGGTTAAGATCAAGTTAAAGCAAGACCTATATAACTAAAAATGCAACTTTTGCTATCTGATAAGGTCAGTCAGATCCCCTCAGGATTTACCCTGGAACCATGTACAGCACCTTGTGGATCTTTAGTCAGTGTCAGCCATCTGGATGAGTCATGGCCATTGCTTGACATACCTGCTCTCTGTGAAAGCCTGAGAGACTTTTTTCTCTCTAGGTGACTCTCCTTAGGCACACTATGCATTGTCAATCACTTTCCTCTGTGGCCCCATAGTCCCCTTGATCAGAAAATCTGGGACACCACTGAGTTACAGGATGTCACAGCAGAGGTTCTCTTATGTCCTCAGTCCTCACTGACCTTGAAGGGCTAGGGCCAAAATATTAGCTATCTTTTTAGCCCATCTATCTGTCAAATTTTTGGTCTGCAGACTTTCTAAACATCCAGAAGAGAAGCTTACTGACATTATTGTCCTATAACAGAGGCAGTTCAGCTTAACATCACTATCTGTCTGAATATCACATACCTGAGCCATCATTTATCCTTTCTATACTGATCCAAAAAACAAATCATCCTACAGAACATAGGTAAACAGAAATTATAACAGAAAATTTAGTAAGTAACCAGTTTTTAGGAGTATAGTTAGACTATAATATCAAATGTGGTAATATATTAAGTTTTAAAATATTAAAAGTAATGTGATCATTATGAATAACTTAAAAAATAGGTATGCAAAACCCACTATTGACATTTTAAATAAATAACTTCAAACTCATGTAAGACATGCACATGATAACAAATGGAATTACACTGACTATACTGTTGTGAAGTCTATTTTCTTAACATAATGACCACTCATGAAATTGAGTATACTTAACATGTCATGTAATTAGCTGATTGTTCTGTCACATCAGTTTCCTGCCACCTTTTATCCAGTCTCTTGCTGTTGGAATCTTCAGGAAGTTTCCATGTTTTATTATACAAACATTACTATAAGGTCCATCTTTAGTAAAAAAATATGGGAGCTAAGTGGCATGAAATGTTTGACCTACGACCCCACCGAAGTTGTGTATTATAATCTTGATTTTAAAAATCCCTTATCTGTCAAATGGTAGAAAATTATATCCTTACGTTTTGGTAGACATTTTAGAAATTATACAAGTGGACATTGCCTATCACAGCAACTACTGATTATCTGATTACTTTTTCTGAGAATCAAGTTTTTAATTTGCAAAAATGTGGGTTTCTCTTACCCTTTCCCGGAGAGATCTCTACCTCGTCCCCCGCCGCCATCAGCTGAATGGTGAAGCTCCTGTCCTGCTGCCCCACGGCGTCCTGGAGCACGCTCAGAACGATGGTCTTCTGGGACTCCGTCTGCAGCCACAGAGAGGGACCAATGGCACATTGTGATGATGGAGCAGGGTTTGTGACCAAAAACATTTTTAAAGTGTGCCCTTTTTGTCACCTAGTATTTTGGCTACCATACAAAAAAAGGATTTGAGCCGGGGAGATGGCTCAGTGGAATAAGCGCTTCCCTGCAAGTGCAAGGGCTTGAGTTCAATCCCTGGTTCCGGGAAAAAAAAAAAAAAAAAGCATTTGATTATTCCTAATATTCTTGAATTCCACTCAGACTTTTAATGAGAAAAATAAAGATTAGTGCATTGCCCACATTTAACAAAAGTTTTCAGCCACCAAAGGTCCAACTGTAGAGAGCTAAGTGGGCACATCATAAATGTCAACAAACAGAAGTCACAGATTAAATACCCTAGGGACAGCTGGCTTCACTCAAAGGAAAAACAGCTCCACCAGCCCAGGTCCCAGCCAGCCTTGGCCGACAGTCTGGAGAGCCCCACTGCTGTCACCGCTGGGCGTCCCCTCCTAGTGGGCTTCATCAGCGTTCAGGGTTCAGTTAGTAACAGCACTGCCCAGTCCTGAAAGCAGCACCCAGGGGGCCTAATCCCAGGAAAACCTGGGCTTCCCCCAGGACACTGGTGTTTTGTGTATGTATTTTGGTTTTTCTTTTACTTTCCCCTGAAGATCTTTTCTTCATTACCGTATATATTCCACTTGTTTTTTTTGCTGAATGCATTACAGTTACATTTTACTTTTCCTCGATTACTGCAAATTCATAACAATTTAATTCGTTTCTTTACAGACAGGCTCTCACTGTGCTGCCCAGACTGGCCTCAAATTCGTGGAGTCGGGTGACCCTCCCATCCTGGCCTCTGGCAGCTGGGACACAGGGATACAGCACACTCGGAACTCCCGCCTCACACATGTTCTCTCCTGCTTGGAGTTCGGCAGCACCATTTCCACTGGACAACAGAAGGCCTTTGAGTTTTATTTATTCTTTTTGTCACCTTGCCTGGGCATTTCTTTTTTTGTGTGCTTGTTTTACTCTATTTCTGAGATGAGGTCTCACTACTCTTCCCTGTTAATCCTCATCTCCAGTGCCCAAGGAATCCTCCTGCCTCAGCCTCCAGGGCCGGTGGGCTACTGATGTCACCAACACATCTGGCCTTGCATGTTCCAATCTCTTCTGTCAACCCTCCATCTTGTCATTCATTCATAAATGTGTCTGCTTCTTCACTTGTCCTTCACCACCTACCGCTGAAGAGCTGTCCTGTTTATGCAGGCAGATACAACTTACCTTTGTTTTTTTGGTACCAGGGATCAAACTCAGGACCTTGTGTTTTCCAGGTAGGGATTTATCCTGCTGTGTTCTCTCTCTAGCCACAACTTACCTTTTGATAGCTGGAGATTCCCTGCTTTGCATTTATACATTTGCAATACAAATCCAACCCTGGTCATCTCTTAAGTAGTATCGCATGAGCACCGCTGTATGTACATCTTTGTGTGTGTGTTATCTCCCTGAAGTGCTACTGCTTTTACATAGAAGTGCTTCTAGTTATGCCTGAATTCTGTGTTTCTGAATTGCACACTCACTGAATTTGCTTTAGCTCACAATCAATGCCCGGACCTTCTGTGGTCATTCACAGACATGGGCCCGTTGACAGAAAGTCCGGGTCACTGTAACACGTCTCTGTGTGGAGTAAGCGGTGCAGCTCATCCTGCGGGGCAATGATGGAGCACACAGTCGTGTCTCCGCTTACAACACCCCACAGCCCCTCCTGTTTTGAAGCCCAAGCTCTCTGCCTGGGGGCCGTTTTAAACAGTGACATCACCAATGAAAAGCACAAAATAAAACACTGCATGGCACTTTGGAAAAGACACTCGTCTACTCTGTGCAAGCTAAAACAAGGCACTGCGTGTTCCCCCTCAGCCGACAGCGAGCACATTCGCAGCATGAAGTTCCCATCACTGTCTCCGTGCACAGATGAGCAGGGATGGATCGGTCGTGCTGACGGGGCCTGGGCACAGCAGATCTCAGTGCGTGGGTAAATTCCCAGCACAGCAGCAGGAGCAATGAAAACCAACGGGACCCTGAATCACAAAACTCTGCAGTGTTCCATGCGTGGACAGTGCCTGTTTCCTGCTGTCTAAGGGAGCCAGCACTTCATGTGCTACCATCTCTGCTTCTCTAAGAAACAGACAATGAGTGACACTGGGAAGGGCGAGGTGGGGGCGATTCCCAGTCAGTGTTTTGGGACCCCTGGTGACAAAGAACAGCAAGAAACGCCCTGGGGTAAAAAGATGGCCAAAAAGTTTTACAAGGAAATGAATTCAGAAAACTTCTAGTAGAGGTTTTATTTTATTTTTTATTTTTTGTATTTATGGAAGGGTCTACAGGGTGTTCAGGGTCTCACTACTAGATCGGACTAGTAGTGATCCGCCTGTTTACAGCCTCCCAAGAGCTGGTATTACAGGTGTGTACCACCACGCCCAGTCTCAATCTCAATCACCATCACAGTGTGCCCCTGGGAGTGGGGGTGGGGCCAGCACTGCAGGCCTGGGATTGAACCCCTGGCCCCTGCAGCTGCTCACAGGCACTTCAATCTGCTGAGCTATTTGGCCAACCTAGTAGAGGTTTTAAATTGCAAGTAAGGTTTATGAAATATCCTGCACAAAGAGCCTTCTGTGTTCAATCAAGATGTTCCCAGGTCAATGTGAACAGCGCTTTTTCCTCTTGAAATTCCGAATACATACTACTCTGCTGCAGAACTGCAGCACAGCAGTCATTCAGGAAAATGGCACTCGAGGCTTCCTCGGGAAGACTGCTTCCCCGCTTCCTGAAATTCAAAGCTGCTTACTTGCAATCACACAGTGTAGAGAAGGAGTTGAGCTTCGCCATGTTGAGTTAAGGGGCACTATGCTATTGCACTGGACTTTTTTATTATTTCAGAATTGGCTTATAGCTGCTTCCTAAGGTCAGGAAGTGGGTCAGTCTCTTCGCAAACATAATTTCCCACAACCTGTGCAGACTCTCAGGTTGAGCGTCACTGTCACCATTTTGCATTTAGGAAACCAACATGAGAAATGAACGGGTTTTCTTAAAGTCAGATGGCATTAAATGGTGGAGCGAAAATTTGAATTAAGGTCTATCTCAATTTAAAAGACTACAGCCCTTATAGTTTTTGAGTGGTTATTTCCAACAGCACACAGAACCCGGTCTGAGACGAACTCAGGTAGGTGGAAACCATACAATTTGAGGTGTCAGAAGAAGTCTGTGACAGCACACAAACTCTCCAGAAAAAGGCACCAGGGAGGTCAAACACTGGCAGAAATGACAACTACAAAGAGACAGAGAAGATATGCAGGAAACCCTAAAAGCCATGGTGAAACACAGTGTTAGGAACAAAGGCGTTCAGAGAAGAATCAAGGCAACCAAACGCAGGCAACCAGCTTTCAATGCAATAGATTTTGGTTAGTCTGTAAAATAAATGTTTATGATAAATTGTGAAATAAAAAGAGCAAGTTACAGCACAGATTGCAGACTAAACTTCCATTTGTGTAAGAATAAGATGCATATGCTTGAATATGCATAGGAAGTTTTTGGAAGGATGTATAAGAAACTGTCATTAGTAGTTACCTCTGGGATGGAGCAACATGATATCCAAGGAGATTTGGGGGGATTTTCCCCACCTTTTTGCACCCAACTGTACTGCTTAAGGTTTACACCAATATCACATATATTTCTGTAACACAGACCATAAAGATGCAGGAAAGAGATTTTTGGGTTAACCTGACAGCAGGTTGGCTGGGGGAGATGTGCCTTTGTCAAACACACATGTAGACACCATATGGGACCCAAAGCGACAGAAAAATAAAATTTAAAAAAAAAAAAAACCTAAAGCTAAAACCTGTGTCTGAAATCAGGCAGTGTTTTCTTGTATGGAGGTTAACAGTTCCAGGCAGATGAAAGGATACACATACAGTCCTCACCACAGGCCTACATGATAAGGACAATGCAGGAGGGTCAGGACATTTCCTGTACTGGCCCTAGGAGGTGACTGCTGCCCTGGGGGTGCTGTGCTCCCATGCCCAGCTGTCCTGCCTCTTTACATCAATTCAGATCACACCAGAGTGAATGGGCGGAGACGAACCCTGTGCTCCAGGAATGGAGACTTATCCCCACACACACTGAGCAAGGGCCCAGGCGGGGAGTACGCACACAAGTTTTCTAGACACCGTATAAAATTTTAAGAGCACAAACACTGTAAAATAGGAATAAGAAACTATGAAGGAAGGACAGTTTGAGATAAGAGATGAAAATAATGCTATTTAAGAATAATCTCACAGCACCTGCTTGGCAAATTCAAGGTTGTGAGTTCAATTCCTTGTACCCAAAGCAAAATAATAATAATAATAATAATAACAATCTCAAAGAACAATGCAGTTGCAAAGCTCAGTGCTTACAAGAAGCAATAAAGTAGAACCGCATGGCAGAAAATGTGATCAGTGATGCAGAGGACAAACTACAGCTGTCTTACCCAAGTGCAGAGTAAAAGAGGTAAAAATGATAGGTGGCACCATGACGCCTCTGAGCATGAATGCTGCTTCTCTGTGTATTTCCCTTCTTCTGTTTCTTTTTTTCATCAAGGACCATTTCACTCCTCTGTTCTGCACTGAAATCAACATTGCTAAGAAATTTCTGGAGGCCAGGGAGATAGCTCAGTAGAATAAATGCTTGCCTGGCAAGAGCAATGTCCTGAGTTCAATCCCTGGTACCACAAAAAAGAAAAATTTCTGAGCTATGGGGAAGATGAGTGGGAAGGAACAGTAGTGATCATTCTTGGGGCCTTCCTCGGTGGGGGCGGGGAAAGAAGCAGGCAGGGGAGGGGCCAGGGGTAGATGGGGAGTAGAGACAACGCTTATTCAAAGAAGGCTGAGGAAAGAGTGGGAGGGATGCACTCCTGACCACGGCCCTGACCACGGCCCTGCCCCCGTCTCTGTGGCAATGCACTGATGGCCACCACCTGGAAAGGACTCGTCGTCCACCGGCTGGGAGTGTCTCCAGGACACAGCTGCAGGCTCCTTTGGAAATTGCCTCATTTCCAAACAGTCCCATCTCCCTGCAGGGCTGGGTTCCCCTGCAGGGCTGGGTCCTCCTGCAAGGCTGGGTCCTCTCTCTCACATGGTCCACATCCAATAATGGCTCAAGATAATATTATGAAAGCCAACCTTCCTACATCTCAGATCAGTTCTGAACAGCCAGTCTGTCTTCCAAACTAACTGTAGCGTACAGCAAAGCAAGTTCAAGACTGCATCACAGCCTGCTCCACCCCGTCCAGCACTCTGTCGTTCACTCCTGCAGGTGTGAGCCAAGGAGCACCTACAAAGCCTCCTGACACCCCACAGCTCTCACTGGGGAGACGCTGACTTATCAGCCCTGGACCATCTGTCGGCCCTGCAGAGTACACTCCGATAGAGCACAGAGCTCAGCTACCCAGCAAGACAAGAGAACTGCACCCTGGTGCTAACAGGAGACTGAGCAGAACTATGGTGAGAATTTCCCCATAAGTGGGGGAATCATGAACCCACAATCACCATTTCACTTTGCAGCCACCCAAGAAAGCATTGTACAGTAAATCTTGTACAGTAAGGCACACATCCTACGTATAGCAGCTCTTGTAGACTAGGATCTCAGTTGCCAAATGTGAACAATAAGTTGCTAGCAGAACGACTTGTGGGGTCAGAGGGCCACCTGCACAGTGCTAGCAAGAGCAGGGCTGGAAAAGGTGGAACACACTGTCCACATCAAAGAAGAACCCCCTGGACATGTGAAGCCTGCAGACACGGCTATGCAGAACCAGTGGAACTGCTGCGCAGAGGGACACCAAATTACAAGGCTGGTAACCAAGCACTGAACACAGGATTCTATCCAGCAGTCAACCCAACCCTCTGGATATATGTAATACTCTGAAAACAGCCTTACCCATGGGGGAAAGATCAGAGTATTTGTCATTTTGGCATAGATCCCACGTTCAGAACAGAAAACCTTTCTAATAACCTGGAAAGAAGATCTAGCTGTCCACATGAGGCAAATGGAAAATTATTGCTCATGTAAATCTTTCTAGAGATGTTACTAATTTCTCAGTTTCAAATTGTTTTCATTCCAGGTCATCAATTTTCAGATTATGGCTGGGGCACGCAATCTTGAGTCATCACTGATTGGGATTTGAGAGACAAATGGATGGCACATCTGCGGCATCTGGCTCAAGACTCAGTGTCGTCAGAGACAGTCATCAATGTCTCAGGCGTGGTGGGAGATGAAGCAAAAACTGTGCTTCTGTCCTGTTTGATGGCTACTGTTGTGGAAAAAAAGGTTACTAGGTTACAGAAAGAGCAAACTGCTGTCTTGTCAAGAGTGTAGAAAACAGTTCCAGGGACCAAGAGATCTTGTGTCCTTTTCAGAGCTGACAGAAACTTTTGACAGTCATTTATTCTCATAGTTGGAGGCCGAGGCACATGCAGATGCTTATAAAGTGCTTGTTTATTTATTGTAATTCAGACTTTCGAGTGGCTAAAATGCTATCATGAAACTTAAAGATGACTAACTGTAAATGTTTGGTGAAATTCCTTTGTGAAATCGCATGGAGAGCATCTTCTACTCTTAATGTTTTTCTAATCATTTATAGAAAATTAATCTATTTAGATTGCATATATGTTATATTATCTACTACAGTGAATATCACATAAAGTTTTAAGTTTATTTGTCTAGATGTATATTAAGTGATGTCTTAAAATGTGTAATATTTTCTCAGTTGTAATGGTAGTTTGTCCGTTCTTATCTTACAAAGTTATTTTATTTTTTTTAAATTACTTTATGAGTTATACTTTTTTTTGCTTTTTAATTGACTGCCTTATGCTTTTGTTTTTAGCCATTTAGGAAAGATGTGCCAACTGAAACATGATTCTAAGAGCAAAAAACACAAGAAGATTATAAATCTTGTCTCCATTTTCTTCTCTTTGCGCTGTCTGTCTGTCTGTCTGTCTGTCGCAGAGCCAGGAGCGCACAGCCTCTTCACTCCAGCCGTGTGCTGTCTTAGTACAAAAGTAACACCACTCCCTAAGCCGTCTTCGAGCTGCCGCATACCCTTGGCCTTCTGCGCCTCCAGACGTATCTTAGATCAGTGTGTCAGTTCCCCTCAACCTCACCATCTCCCTCCCCAAAATGTGCTGGGACTTTGATAAATATCACTTGGCGTTAGTGAGGCGAAGATTATTCATCGTGAAAGTCGGCAGTCAGCTTAATTAGATACCAGCTGCCTTCACCATATGAACTTCTCTCAGGATTCAGAGCCCAGCATAGCCAGGGAAGGAGGAGGGGGACACGGAGTAGGCCCAGGAAACCATCAAAGCCACGTCCGCTGGGGTTGTCTGATACTCTAGCCAAGGTCCTCCAGGGCAGTGTCGAAAAGAACATAAACAGTAAAGCTTTACAAAGGCTCTGTCAGACTTTGGAAAGAGGCATCACTCTCATAAACGTCTCTCAAAAAGGAGGAATGTTCACCCTCACTGTTATCACTGCAGCAGGCCCCGACACATGTAGCGCGATTGTAATATGCTCTCTATTCTGAAATGATTTATTTTAGATTTTTAGTGGCTGGCTTCATCAAGTGTCCACGGGTGCTACAAATGCTTAATCTTTCAAAGTTTGAGACTTTTTTGAAATTGTGTTTCTTTTTTTTCTTTTTTTTTCTTTTTTTTTTTTTGGCAGAACCAGGGATTGAACTCAGACCCTTGCGCTTGCCAAGGAAGTGCTTATTCTACTGAGCCATCTCCCTGGCCCTCCGAAATTGTGTTTCTATCGTGCACGAGTAATATTTTGAGTTGGTGTAACAGATCCACATGGTCAGAACAGCCAGAAAGCACAGAAAGCAGAAAAACTGAGCAGACTTAGCGGGCAGCTCTATGCAGGGGCTAGAGAAAGGGTGGTGCTGGGCTCACACCTAGATGAGGGGCTTGCCTGATGGGCTCTGCCCTCCTTCAGGACAGGAAGTGGGAGAAAAGGAAAATCTGATGGGCAGAGAGGCAACTCCGGGATTGAACAAGCTGAGTTCCGCTATGTAGGGCTTCGTGTGCACAGCGTAGACAGATCTGCCCCATAGTGTACACAGATGTCAAACAACTTTCTGAAGCACTGAATACTGTCACAACATGGACTCATCAGTAATTCCCTGCTAATGAAAACCAAGGACAAAGTCGAGGAAAGTGACAGGAGTCCCAGGGCTTACTGTACCTCATCAAAGTGAAGTATTCCATTCAAAGGGCTGAGGGTGTCCTTTGCTTTGTCCTCTAACATCCACTGAAGTCGCACAGCACCTTTTCCTCCTGGGGACCGGACAACCGTCAATGTCACATAGGAATCAGGGTCATCAGGTGGAAGGGACTCATCAACCATTACCTAAGGGAGCGAAAAGCTGGTAAGGCAATAGCAATGGTGACGACGACAGGAGAAACAGACTCTTTCTTCTGTGTGCAATCACTGCGGGTTTTGAATTTAGAGTCCTCGTCATGGTACACTATACTCAGCTGGTAGGAAGAGTGTTGCCCACACCCTACTTCCGTTCTTCCCTAGACGCTTGAATACTGGCCAGTTCTGTCCTCTCTTACAGACCAACACCGCACATGGCTGAGTCCTGGCAGAAGACTATGCACAGGGGTGGCCTGCGCTGCTGACTCTGGCTGGACACGTGTGCACGGCCCTCCACATTCCCCACTGCCTGTCTGTCAGGTGGCTGGAGAGGATGCCCAGGACCTGAAGGAGGTCAGGAACCAGGTGGAGAAAAGGTGTCTGTCCCTGTCTGCTAACTAGGAGCAGCACTGTGGGGGACACCCACATAAAGAGGAAATAAAGGCACTGAGATTTGGGGGCTCTTTGTGATGGCAACCAGGGTCTCCACAGACCTAAACTGTTCCCCAAATTGTCTGAAATTTCCCAACGTTAGTGATGCAAATGTTAAGAGGAGTCTTAGGAACATGATATAGAAGAGAAATTTTGGTATGTTAATTTACTGGTGCTATTAATTGTGCTTTTTTCTGTATTTAGTACAAGGTCTACAGAGTCAACAGGGTCTCACTACATAGATTGGACACATAGTGATTCTCCTGTTTTCAGCCTTCCGAGTGCTGGGATTACAGGTGTGCGCCACCACGCCCACTCTCAATCATGGTCTCAGTGTACTCTGGGAGCAGGGCTGGCACGGCACACTGAGGATCAAATCCCGGGTGCTGTGCTCTGCCTAAGCAGGCGCTTTAGTCTGCTGGCTGGCCTACTGTTACTTATGCTGACCGTGTGAGCTTGTAACATCCATGTGATGTGAAGTTCAAAATGTAACAGTGTTTTCCACTTTCAAGACAGAAGCTTGACCAGCATGTCAAACAACCTCATTTTATTCTCTTGTGAAATTGCTGCATTGGTGACAAGAACAGAGATCCGGAGCTAATTCATGCTTTTGAGCTTCCTTCACACATCGGGTCTTACCCATGCACTACACTGCCCTGTGGACAGCTTCTGCATTTGGTCAGGCGTATACTTGCGAACCTTCCTGATGTTCCTCAGTTCAACCTAGTCTGTGTCACCAACCAAGGCACGCAGAATGACCTTTGGGTGTATGATACTGTACATCTTACATACATCTCCAAAGATCAATGCAGGTTATCAAGAAATATACACTATCTGGACAGCACCCTCCAGGGCTGACCCACACGCCACTTACTCTACCAACAATAAAACCAGCAGCTGACACTTCCTGAGAGCAAAGCCCAGGAACAGGCGCTTCACATGCATCAGCTCATTTACTCCTCACAATATTTAGGAGGAATAAAACTCCTACAGTAGGGATTAGGTAACCCAAACCTTACTTTTAGATTTTAGAACAAATCAGGACTTGGAGGCTACTACACTTA